GTAATGTATGAGATAACAATTATTCTTCATTAATTACAATATTGTTTTAATATAATTTTAATTTAAAATCAAATTGTTAGAAATTTGTTTATATGTTTAAAAATAGAAAAAATGATAAAAATCTAATAAATTTAAGAAAAAAATTTGGTCACGAACTTATGAGCGAGATATTTAAAATGGGATATTTGTAAATATTTCTTATGAAAATAATTTAAACAAATATTGATTGTGCAAAATAGTTTTGGAGACCATTGCATATAAAATATAATTTTCTTAAATTTCAATTATTAATTAATTTCGTCGTAGATTTCATAATTTTATCGTTACATTTAATTGTTCAATTTTCTTCTCTATTATTAAATTAAATTAATTGAATTGATATACTACTCATTATCAAATTCATCAATCATTGAATTTTTTTAATTATTTTACATAAATGAATAAAATATTGAGATTTTTTGTATTTAAGAAGCATTTAAAATTTCTTTTGTTTACGCGTGCGATTTTTTTCGATATTTTTAATGATTTTAGCGGAATGCATTTAAAATCCCATAATGAGCATCCACATAGGATGCCAAGCAAAAGTGTTTCCTTTCGTATCTACAGGGTGATGGTGTTGTAAGCTTCAGCTCATTCAGAGTAATCAGTAATCATACTACCATTTGTTGTATTGTATAACGTACGTTTAGTAATGCTTTTTCACAGTGAGTCAACTAGATATCTACGCGTAGTCCTTAATTTTCTTTTTTTTTTTTCGAGAACGATTATTCTTATTGCATGAGGAAACTCGCTAATGCTATAGATAAAAGGGTTTAGAAAGATATTCTAAATTTAAATTTTTATGTAATTCTCGAAATGTGTATTCTGTACATCGAGTATATCATAATTATATGTAAGGAAATTTAATTAGAACGCGATTAATTCATTAATTCAGAAATAAATTTTTAGTATACATATAGTCTTTTTTTACGCAATACTTATTATAAGATATAAAATAAATATATATTTATAAGATAAATAAATATTTCTTTAATAATTTTATATAATTTATATTTGAACACATGCATTAATCGCGTATCAAGAAAAAATTAAAATTTATTTTAATTTTTAAAATTTATTTTACTCTAAAGAATAATGTACTTTTAAATAATATTAGAAAGAGTACATCATGAGTAAAACATTTTTATAAATATTGAATATTGAATCAGAAATAATGGAACGCATTAAAGAGTACAATTATTATTTTATAAGGAGATTATTTTGAGCAATTTTTATATTGATTGATCGAAATCGAAAATATTTATTTGGTAATTAAAGGCAAAATATTTAATTTAAAAGATTTTACGGTAGCGATCATTGTTGTGCATTAAGATATCCATTGGATGTGTAGTTGCTATGTGGCTTCAGATTTTTATTTTTTTAATTTATCAGGATGAAATATTATTTGAATATTACTATTGGAAAAATTTACACGTCTAAATAATTGATATGGATTCAAAATATGGATTCAAATGTGGATGAAATATGAAATTATAAAGTGATTTTATAAAAGTATATCTAATATGCGAGATATAGCTGCGGTTAATGCTGCTATTTGAAAATATTTTGAATCAACGTTCACATCTTATACAATGAAAAAATTCAGTAAATATTTATTGTTAAAATTGATTTTAAATCGATTGTCGGAGAAATATTATTCATTGTATTTGTTTGATCTTGCTTCTTATTAAATAAATAATTTCTTTTTTATAAATATTAAATTTGCAGAACTTTACAAATTTTTAAATTTTAATCTATAAATGTTTAATTTTAAGAAATTTAAAATTTTTACAATTTTAATATTATATTTTTTATTTTACACATCTTTCATTAAAAAAAATTTTCTATTGATTTTATTGATTCTTGTATGCACATATTCTGAATTCACATCAATTCACGTTTCTGACATTGATTTTGAGCTACTCGGTGCTGTGAATCCTTATTTGTGAAAGTCTTTGAATATATATATAATTTTTATATCATATATTGTCTTTGGTATTGTAAATTCTCCATTTCATTAATTCTGGATTTTGCAAATGTCCAATGTCGTCGATTTCCCTGGATTCACTTTTATCGAACGATTTCTGGTTCCGCAATGCTTGGTTTCATTACTAATTGCAAAAATCATTTAATTGAGCTTATAAATTTTGGGATACCAAAGACAAAATCCCAGGGTCGCTGCCAGAAATTCAAATTTTAATGCCAAAAAGACTACGATTCTTTAATATTTTATAGTTTTTACGAATGCTCTGCTATTCTCTGTAGATGTGTACTCTTCGCGATCGGTTTTAAAAAATTTGTTAATATCAGATATACGAAAAAACAAATTTAACAAAGTTTTTTTATTTCAGATTACTATGGAGGAGGCCCGAGGTGATCCAACGAAATCGTCGTCGTTGCTGCAGAAGCTACTATCCGAGTGACTACAGGCCACCATCCCATCATGCAGTAAAGAGTTATATGTAATATATTTTTGAGTGTGTGAGAAGCGGAATGCAGATACAGGACGTAAAAACGTGGAGTAAAGTAAAAAATGCGAGAGAGAAAGAGAGAGAAATGCACGAGAAAATAAAAAAAGAGAGTTATAAAATGCATATAAACTTATACGTAATGGATACTATTGTATTATATGTAACGTCACACATGGAGTCAGTATTCATATACGTATCACCAAATACAATGCAAAACTAGCGCGCGGTGCTCTCTAGAATGTTGCCCGTCAGCCGAAGAAAAGGGACGAGCGAGATCGGGAGAGAGAAAGAGAGTGAGAGATAGAAAGATAGAAAAAAAAGGAGAATAAAGAACTTGTTCCCTCTTTTCTCTTACTTTTCGAACTCGGAGGACCAAAAGTTTCCGTTTCCGTTTGGCTGTGTCAAGATTTCCTGGCCGAGCACGCGGCTCGTCGGGAATATCGAGGTCGCGACGTTTCCATCGCTCTTCTTTTTTTCTTTCTTTTTCCTTTTTCGCTTTGTTGAGGAAAATCTTCCTTTCATCGAGCTCTCTCGACCCTGCTTTGGTTGACCGGAGATATATGTCGTATCGTATATTGAGATAACGCTGTGACGATCACAGGCATACGATGAACCCACATCCGCATTTTACCTGTCGATACGTGTGTACTTGTGTTAATGCTTGCGTGTGCATGCGTGTGCGTTGTGTGCATGTGTGTGAGTGTGTGAGTGTGTATCGCGTTCTCCGTCAGTATTGTATTTGGTATATCACAAGGGTGGAAAAAAGAGGAGAGGAAACTACATATAGGTACCTCAAAAAAGGTATACTTTACTATACCACTGGCTGTTGAAGATAGATAATATTTATAGGATTTAATTATTCTATACACAGAAGGAAAAAAAAGAAAGAAATAGAGCACTCTATTCACGTATTCTCCTTAATTTAACATTCCTTTTTCGACTATTACATTTACGGATAATATATTTGTGATGGTAAGAATCTGCAACCAAAATGT